CAGCCGGGCTTCCAATGCTCTGGCATGAGGCGGACACAGCAGCACCAGTTCTGGCAGGTAGAGGAATGCTGAGCAAGATGTGCTGAGAGGTGTGTGAGTGAGGAATTCCAGAGCCAACCTGTCACCTGAGTGGGATGAACTCACTCAGTGTTGGCACCATGATCTGATCAATAATTCAGGTGTTTCCCCTCAAGCCCTCAGTTCCCCACAGCAAAGCCAAATTCACTCCAGGCTTCTCACAACCCCTCGTGATTTGGGGGTATCTTTGTGGGTTTGATTTGACCTGTATGGGGGTCACAGAGCCCAGGGTTGGTGTGGAACAAGCACGGCTGGGTCTTTGGGCCTGCCCCGGGTGTTGCAGTGAACTCTCGGAGCTGTGACATGGCTCTGATGGTTCTGCTCCTGAACCCTCTGCATAAAAGGCAATGGCAGCTGCTGCAGCGTCGCCACTGCCCCATCCTTCAAACTGAGAGAGGAAGAGACTTTTAGGGAATGTGCAACGAGGCCGGAGCAAACGCAGCCGGCAGCGCAGCCCGGGCCGTGCCCGCTGCAGGAACCGGCTCCTCTGTCCTCAGCACCATCAACCTGCAGCTTCTGCTGAGGAAAATATTTACATTTCCACCTATCCAGAGGCCAAGTGCAGCTGCTCTGCCGCAGCCCAGAGGGAAGGGACATGGGAGGCATCGCCCTGGGGCTGCAGGAGAACCATTGCTGGGCAGGAGCTTCTCTGCTGCAGTCACTGCTGCTGGGCAAGTGCAACAGCAACCCTGGAGTCCTTCCTGTGCCTTCTGCATGTGCTACACAACCTGTACCGCTCATGAGCCAAACCTCATCCTTTTGCTCAAAAACATCACTGAAGTATCTGCTCACCACCCAGCCCCACACAGAGCTGGGAAATGCTGCCAGCAAACCAACTTTTTCCCATCAGAGGGCCCTTGAGGAGACACCGCTCAGCTCCTTTCCGATAGCTGTACCACCTCTGTATCACCTGCAGCTCCTCCAGGCAGGAGGAACCTGTGCCTTCCCACCACCCCAGTTCCCAACCAGGAGGGCACCCACTGCCAGGCTGCCCCTGCCACGGCCTGCCCAGGGCAGCTCCACGCTCAGGCATCTCCTCTCACCAGCGGGGCTATAAATAAACCCTCCACGGTCACCAGAGGGAAGTTGTGTTGCTCCAGATGTTGCCTGGTTTTGCCATAGCAACATCACAACAGGAGGGAACAAACTGCTCCAAAAAGAACCAACTTTCAATCAAAACAAGACTAAGAAAAGTCCCAGGGACTCACCAGCAGCCCAGGCACCCTCTGGCCCATCCTGCGCTCCTGGCCTGTGGTGTCCCTCACACAACCTCCCGCACCCACCTCGGGAGCTGGGAACAGCTCCGTGGGGAGGCTCCGTCTTCGGGAAGCCAAGCTGAGCAGGGAGGGATGTGTGAGTTAAATGGGCCAACAGCAAACTGACCCCAAAATGGCGCTGACTCAGGGACAAGCTCTGCCCCAGGACCTCAGACACACCAGTGGGAAGCTGCTGTCTCCCCATCCAGAGCTCCAGGGCTCCCAGCTCAGCACGAGCTTCCCAGCACTGCTGTGGCTCAGCACTGGAGAGAATTAACCCCAGGGTGTACGAGCTGCACACACACATAGGCACACGATCCTGCTGTTTTCCTTCCCCTGCCAGCATGTCAGCACATCTGGGCAAATCCAGGAAGGCCTCGACCCCCAGCCAAGTGCTCTGTGCCAGAGTCCCTGTCCTCCACCAGGGCAGGAAAGAGCCAGTTCCAGCCCCTGGTGCTTCCCCTCACCAAGGCAGAGCTGCTCCCACACCTGAGATCCACCTCTCCACCAGGGACACCCTGAGGTGAAGGAGATCCAAACCCTCCCAAGCCCACACCAGCGAGCCCAGGGCTGTGTTACCTCAGCCACTGAACTCACCCCATGACTCTGTGCCCTGAGCTTCAGGCACGGAAGGAGTCGGCAAACTGGCATCGGGAAATGCCCGCCTCCAAAAAAAAAGCTGCAAAACTCGTTGCATAAGGAAACAAAAAAAACCTTTATTTTATTCCTCACAAGAAGCACATAAAATATTCAGGACATTCTTACAAACAAAAGTAAAAAAAAAAAGTGCATGATGCATCATTCCCTCCCGCGGACATACAGTACAAAAATCCCGCCGATTCCAATACAAAACCGGGATTCAGAAATACATGGGATTAAAGGACCCTTGTTATCAGGGAGGACAGCAATGCACAGGAACAGCTACACGTTACTCACCCCCCTCCTCACAGGTTGACAAGGACAGGTCCTGCTGGGACACGGCCGAGCCAAACCCCACCTGCATGGGAAGGACCCCCAGGAGGTCGGGCACTGCCACCACACGGACCAACAGCACCTGGACTGGGAATAAGGTGCCGGTTTGTGCATTTCAGGATTCCTGGCAGGACAGGATTGGGTTTGGATCCGCCGAGCAAAGCGCAGCCGGTGACGGGATGTGTCCCCGCACACCCCACTCGTGTTTCGGCAGCAATGCATAGATAAATGGGATAAATGAGATAAATGGGATAAGTGGGGATAAGCAGGGAAACCAGGAGCAGCCCTCGGCTGTCCTTTGGTTCTGCCATACCCAGAGGGAAGCGGTAGCAGGTGAGCAGTGCTGAGCTCGGCAGGGATGGCAGGGCAGGATGCGGGGGGCGAACGGTCTCACTGCCACCAGAAACACCAAAAGCACCAAAAACTCCCCAAAGAACAGCAAACAGCAGAGTTGAACAGCTCAACAGATACACAGTGTTTGTAAACTATGAGTAAGGCACTCTGTCGTAAGGACACGTGGGGAGGACGAGCACATCGACCTTCTCATGCAACAAACCCAGCGGGACCACACATGGTGCAGGTTTGGCTACAAACCCCTGGGAATGGCACAGCAGCTTCCAGGCCAGCTCCCACTAAATCCTGCCTCTATCCCGTGACACAGCGAGGGAGCACAGGGCCCAGTGAGGGAAGTGTGGGGTTGATCCAGCAAGAGCTGAGTGGGAGCAGCAGCAGGGGAAGGCGGAGGGAGCCGAGCTGTGCCCCGGAACGAGGGGGTTGGGTCAGACACGGTGGGTTGGACGCGGCAGAACTCGGCAGGCACTCGAGAAACAGGAAGGAAATCACATGTTCACCCGCAGCAGTTCATGGAACCTTCTGAACTTATTCAAATCCGACCCTGTGCCTCCTCCCTCGGCCGGCAGGGATGGGAAGGGTCGGCAGCACAGAGAAAGGGGACCCTGCTGGGGTCACACCGAGAGGTTCACTGGGCAGGAGCCCCCGAGGCTCCCCCAGGTGCCACTCTGAGCCCCACAGCACCCAACAGCCCCCAGGGCCTCCCGTCTGCCCTTCCCAAATCCCAGTCTGGGTGTACAGCAGGATGAAGATGACACAAGCCTAGGCAATGGCTCACAGTGATCTGTTTGTGCCACATTCCCGGCTCACTGAAGGGGTTTCATCCTGCCCTGAACTCGACCTTGCGGCTCCTTGGCCCGACCAGAGGCTCCTGCACAACTTCCCTCCCGGAGCAGCTCGTGCTCCTCACCAGCTTTCTGGGATGAAAGAAGTGCAAATCAAATTCAGGCTCCCTCAGGAGGGATGTTTATTTACCGATTGCTCATCCCTACACGTCCTCACACAATAGAAACGTGGGATCTTACGCTTAAGAGAGAAGAGGGAACTCTGGGCATTCAGGATCAGGCAAACCCACAGCTCCCTTCCTCGAGACACTGGATTTTGGATTAATTAGTTCAGGCTGGCTGCTGAAGAAAGAAGAAAGCCTTTCCACGGGGATTTTAAAATGTGGGAGCGCTCACACTCACAGCCTGGTTGAGCAAATCCACCACTGAGCTCCCAGATCTGTTCTGACCCCCAAATCTGCTTCAAAGTATCACCTGAAGGCACAAGCAGCCAAGGTGGCTTCAGATGGGATTCAGGGAGCACTGAGACTTGGGGAGTGTTCCCTGCACACTTCCCAAGCCCTTCCCCCCACATTCAGCCAGGGCTTGCACAGAGCAGCTCTTGACCAGGCTGGCTGTCCAAAATATTCCAAAAAAACATGCACTGCATATGGAATGGGGGCACTGCTGCAATCCAAGCATCAGCCCTGGCACAAGGGGGAGCACGTGGTAACACCAGACCCGGAGGGGGGCACGGGCAACCCCCAGCTGCCTCCCTTCCTCCAGGAAGAGATCTCATCCTCTCCTCCAACATCCCTCTCCTTAGAGCACACATATTTGTCTGACTGCTCCCCCTCACCAGTATTTACAGGGCTTTCACAGCCCTGTGAGGGCTGGGACATGTCCAGCTGGGCTCCTCACTCCAGGGCCACCCAGGCTCCCGACACCCGGTGTAAATAACACCCTGGAGTCCACCAGCAGCTCCCCAGGCTGCCGGGAAACCCAGGACACAGCGACTCTTCTACAAAAGCAACAGTAACAACCAGAAAAGACACGGTCACCTCCTGGGATTTCAGCAGAGCTGACCCTCCTTGGCCACCTCCTGTCACCCACAGCCAACACAGGGTCCCAACACAGGATCCACGACACCGACACAGCATCACATCACGGGCTCCACGGGCACTCACGGGCTCTGTCAGCACTGGGACATCACAGACCACAAGGACAGCAAAAACACCCCAAAAACACAACACCTGGGACGGCCACACAGCCGGGGTCACATCGGTCCCACTGTTCCCACGGACACAGCTCCTTCACCTCCCAGCCACAGCCCCAGGGCAGCCTCCACGTCCACACTCCTCCAGGCCTCTACAGCCAACACCAAGGAAATTCCTTCAAACAACAGCAAGAATTCTGGGAAAAGCCTTTTGGATAAAAAAACTCAACCAACAAAGCAGGACAAAAAGCCAGCGGGAACAGAGGTAGTGTGCGTGTCACCATCTTAAGGATTTCCCACAAGTGCCCTTTCAGAGCCTTGTGTTTGCTCTGTAAAAAAAAGAAGTCATGAATAATTATTCTGAGTCTTTGAAACAGAACATTTCAGCATTTTAGATATAGATAGAGATACGAATGTCTATCCATAACCACACACAAATCCACGTTATTACACTTGGCAAACAGTACTAGGAAGAGCATCCTGCAGGACAACAGGCAAGTCACACACCAAGGCCTCCTCTAAGCCATGCAACACATTTGATTTCCCTTGTGCCCTTCACGTGACCCATCGCGGTTCTTTCTGCCCCCTCTCGGAGCACAGGGAGGGGACGAAGAGGTGGCATTGGATGAACTGCCGCAAGTCAGATGATAAAACTGCATCGGTGCAATGAATAAATGCTGTAACCCCCCCCAAAATCCAGCCCCCTCCTCCCCTCCACAGGAAGCATCAACTTTTGCCCATCCAAAGCACGCTCTTCAAGTTCCCTCCCGCCGCCTTCAGCCCCGGTTTGGAGGGGCCGTCCGCGCTGCTCAGGGAGGGCTGTGGCTCACAGAACACGGAGCACTCGCTGGAAACGGCCTCTTTGGAGTCCGTTACAGTGGACACGTCCACCTCACTCGACAAGTCGTCGGAGGACAGGTTAAGACAGCCCAGTTTGGCGAGGGAGTTGGACCTTTTGAGGGGAGAGGACACGGTGAGGCCGGCCAGGCGCAGCCGCGTCTCGATCTCCTGCGTGCGCTGCTTCACCAGTCCGGGCTTGCCCCGCACGCTGTGGATGCTGTCGCTGCTGGAGCTGCGCGTCAGGTTGGAGCTGCGGGACGAGGAGGGGGTGTAGCAGATGGTCTTCAGGAAGTCCTTGGTGAAGCTGCTCGTGTGCTCCAGGCGGCACACGGCCGGTGTGGAGGTTCTCTGGGAGACCCTCTCCAGGACGCGTTTCACCTCCAGCCTCTCCATGTTGTTCTCCGCATCTCCGAGGACCATCGGGGCCGGTGCCAGGAGGGGCACGAGGCCGGGGTGGGACATCATGTCCTCGCTTTCCTCCACGATGCTGGAGTCCACCCTGTCCCGGAGCAGTGCCGAGGCGTCCGAGGGCAGGCTCTTGAGCCGCTCCAGCTCCTTGGTGTGCTTCCTGACCAACCCTGCCTTCTGCAGCTGGATCAGCGACTCCTGGTGCTGCATCAAGTAGCTGTTGGTGCTTGGCTTTTCCAAGTCTTTGCTGAACAACAGGTACTTCAGGTCCTTGGTAGGTCTGGTGTCCTTCTTGGCCAGAGACTCCTCTCTCACCACTTCGGCTTGAAGGAGGCTCCTGTCACAGTGGGAGTTTCTCCGGGGCAGCAGAGTTTTTTCTGGGGTTTTTGGCGCAACTTTTCCTCTCTCCAGAACACCGCAGTGCTGATCCAGTGACCTGCACGTGCCAGCCTCCAAAGTCCTGGCTCCCGGCACCATGGGAAGCGGAGCCTCGTTATGTTTAGTTCTGATTGCCTCCTCTGGATGTGCCCTGGCGGGCAGGTGGTCCAGCAGGTTGGAGTGGAGGTGGGACAGGAGGGCTGGCTGTGTGCAGATGGTGGTGCTGCGCCGCGCAGGGTTCAGCTTCTCACACTGCTCCCCAAAGGGGTCGGGGGACAGCCCAGCTGAGGAGTACATGCAGTCAGTGCAGGACTGGTAGGGAGGCTTCACCTTGCTGAGGATCCCAAACACGGCGTCGTGCTGCAGGAGAGAAAACAGGGGCAGATCAGTGGGCAGAGAACACACACCAGTGACCAGCACAGGGTGTATTTACAGCCAAGTGGCTCTGAAACAACAAACATTTCCACTTCAGGCCCTGCAGCAGGAGCTAAAGCCATGTGCTTTCCCAGCAGACAGTGTCTCCAAGGAATACCTACCGTGCCAAGCGAGGGTCATGCAAGTGAGCTGCCCAAAGCACTTTACAGGGCACTCACATGTGCACTCCTGGCATCTAAATCCACAGCTCGGGCAAGCAAAGCCCTGGTCAGAAGCACTTCGAAAGGGAAGAAGCTCATCATGGAATGAAAGGCTTTATCCAAGTCAAATGAAACTGGGCTATGAGGATGAGAAGAGCAGTTTCACTTGCAGCAGAGTCAGCCATGCCAATCACCTCCATCTCACCTCCATACGCACCTCAAAATCCTCTGGGCAACTCCTTTTGCTGTTGTTGTTATTCAGGTTCTCCCTATTGAGCCTGCTCTCCTCCTTGTGCATGGACAAACGCCTCTTCCACTTCTCCATGGGATTCTCCTCCCTGATACCATCCTCCCCTGGCTCCCCGAGGCCCATCCTTCCCTTCCTGGGGCTGAAGTCCATTTTCCTCTTCGCCTCCCTCTCGCAGCAGCTGCCCAGCTCTGCCGGCGGCTCCGCTCTCTCCGGGGCCTTTCCCATCTCCAGCAGCCTCCCCTGTGGCAGTGCAGATGGGGGCTGTCCCACCAACGCATCCCGCTCCAGCTGCTCCATGTGGAAAAAGCCCTCCCTGTCCCCGGGAACCTTGTTCTCCAGCAGCGTGTCTGAGAGGCGCCGGAAGCAGTAGTCGAAGCCCCCGGGCCCGTCGGTGCTGGCGCGGTTGTCCAGGTATCCCGATTGGGAAGGCATGTCCAGGTCAGCCAGGCGGTTTTCCAGGTCGATGTCCAAGCTCTCCAGCAGGAAGCCTCCCGAGCCCGTGGTGCCGTCGGTGTGCTGCGGCAGGTTGCTCTCCGCCTGCTGCTTCCACAGCTTGTTGTGGCGCTGCTTGCTGGGGAGAGGACAAGGACACGAGTGACTGTCCTGGAGCTGCAGAAGTGCCATGAGCTCCCTTCCCTCTCCACGGCCCAGAACAGAAAGGCTGGGTCCAGACCTAAGGTCCCATTTGGAAAAACCACCTTCAGCATCAGGATCTGTCCCCCCACCTGCCCACCCCACAGCAGTGCCCCATGTGCCGCTGTGATGGGATCAGCCCTTGGGAGACCCCTCAGGGCACAGAACCCCCACCAGAGCAAAACACTCCAACCCGACCCCTCTGCACATGCCATGGCACAGCTCCTGCTGATCCAGAGGGACAGATTTCCCTCCTCTTCCCTTATTAGATAAATACTGCAGCCCTTCAGTGACAGAGCCCTGGGATTGGCACAGAACCTCTGACACGGCTGAGCTCATATGAGTTCTGCCTCATAAAGCAGGAACAATGTGCTGAGCAGCACTGGCTGCTGAGAAACCCAAACGTGCTTCCTGAGCGCAGAGAAACCCTCACTGAATTACACCACAGCAGCTCTCCCAGCTAATTTCCATCCAGGGAACCTGGCACAGGAAAGGTTTAGGAACAACATGATTATCCCAGGATTCTCCCTCCCTTCCAAAGGGACCCTTCAGGCTGCAGCCCCCGCACACTCTGCCAATGTCTGTGGGCACGACACCGACAGAATCGCAGGGAGATGGATCAATTCTTTGTGGTGCTACCCACAATTAGCTCCTTTACTCTCCACAAGCCGCCTTCCCACCTGTCCCCAGGCTTGCCTGGCATCCAGAATTCCCTCGTACTCCAGCAGTTGCCGCATGAAGCCGGCGTTGGGCCGTGCGATGCTGCGCTTCTGCTTCACGTAGTTGTAGGCCTTCTCCAGGGACCAGCCGAACTCCTTCATGGCGTAGGCAATGACTGTGGACGCCGAGCGGCTCACCCCCATCTTGCAGTGCACCAGGCACTTGGAGTGGTTCTTCCTGCATGAGGACAGACAGGACAAACAGTCCCATATCCCTGGTTATGGGTTTGTTACCACTTCACATGGAGGAGGGACAGTGCTTCCCGCTCCTGCCCACCCCAACACGCTGGATCACATGGGCCATGAGAAGAGTTCCTGTCCAGAAAAGCTGGGAGGTAGAAAAGGGCAGTCTCATTCATTTCAGAGACCACCAGGAAGCCTTCTGCCCACCCCAGTCTTTGGATACAGCAGGAAAAGGAGGAGTGTAATGGCCCAGCAGTGTTTGATGGGCTCTGTCACCCTCTGTCTGCAGGGACAGCTGGGGCAGGTCACACACAGACACGTGCTGGAGCAGCTCCAGAACTTCTCCAGAAGAGGAAACGTCCTCATTTCCTTTTGGAAGCAAAACAAAGCAGTAATAAAAGTGACAGGCAAGGAACAGGTTAATGCCAGCGCAGGAAGAGACAAGGCACAGGGGAGTTGCAGGGACACAGAACTCCTGGCACAAAGCAGCGATGCCAAGGCCCTGACGTGTGGTTTCGGGAGGGCCCAGCCCCTCACGGGATGAGACACGGAGGGTGGCTCGGATGTGCCCCCACACAAAGCCAGGGGTCCCAGGCACTCACTTGGCCTTGTTGATGAAGTGATAGGCCTCGTTCCAGTGTGCCAGCAGGTCCGTGGTCTCCTCGTCGTACACGCGGATGTTGTGGTACGCGAACAACCCGGGGAAGAAGTTGTCGATCTCCCGGGTGACGTTCAGGATGTAGTCAATGCTGGGGGGAACAGGAGACACAGGATCAACTGCCATGGCCAAGAAGAGCAACTGAGGGACACTGTGGATCCAGGAAATCTGACCCGACACGCGCCATAAGGTTTTGTCTACAGCCCTAATCCCAAAGCCCTGGGACACCCAGTGACACAGGTGGCCATTCACCCACCCCTCACCATCAGCACCACACAAAGCACCCAAACACCCTGGGCACAGGAGGGAGAAGTTTACTTTATCCCACTTATTTTATCTGAGTCTGTGTAACTCAAACAGAAAGTCCTGGCTGTGCCACATGGCTTTGGGGATCCCGAAGGAAGAAAAGGGCATCGGCTGCAAGTGAATCATCTGGGAACAGAACCCAGGAATCACCACTTCCAATGGCAGGTTTTAGCTGCAAACCCACCCCTTTCTCTTCTTCCTGACCAAAATCATGAGAGTCACATGTTATCTCTTGATTCCTGCCCCATATTACAGCAGGAATGACAATGTACCTGAGGAGAACCAATGTGCACATTCATTTATCACCTCCTATCACTCAGACAAATCAATAGCACAGGATATTTGTCTCAGAATTTGCCCAGGTTTGACTTCAGGCACTGCATGTCCCCAGGCAGAACAAAATTATTAACGCCCTGCTTGATTTACTTGTCCCAAAATGTCCAGACTTCTGTTCCCAAGGACTCCAAATGACACATTTCCAGCTACATTGCCGAGAAATAGTTTTCGGTTCCTCACGCCAAGGCTGGTGCAGGCCTTGGGTGAGCTGCAAATATTCATATGCCAAACTCTCCCTTGTCCAAAAAGTGTTGCAGTAAATGGGGTGAAGCAGCCCTGTGGTGATGAGTGTGGTGAGACACCCTGAGCTGCCTGTCTGGGGAGGAGAGGACGAATTGGCAGCTCTGCTCCTTTAAATGGAGTTTATTCCTCAGTGCTGCAACCTTTGCTCCTCTGCAGCTTGCAGGAGTTCCCACCTGGCACAACACTAGGGATGGCACACACTGGGGGGATGGAGATCCTGACGGACCTCACAAATGACAAGTTTTGTTATTTTCACTCCGTTTAAAGTAAGGTTGGAGAGACTTCTCGACCAAGGTGTTGGCACTAAATTAACACGTGACTGAGAATGAGAATCACCCCTAAAGCTACAAACACCCTCTCCAGAGTGTTGGGTGGGAGTTACAGGCAAAGAGCTGGAGGGTTTAAGGGCTGGTGCCAGGGAGGAGCTGTACTCACCCCGAGCCCTGCAGCTCCTCGAGGTTGGAGGCGTTCCACTCGGAGCCCTGCAACAGCCACAAGCACACATTTCCAAGGAGCCCCAAAGCAGCCCTTTCCCCTCAGGTTCTGCAATCCCCGAGCCCCAGCCTTCCTCCTGAACTGCCAAGTGGAATGCTGGAAAAGGCCTCTGAGACAGAAAAGTGCCATCAGCAGATGTTCTGTGCTGGGTAGGGACCTGCTGGAGGAGGGGACAAGGAGACAACTCACTTACAGAGTTAGCTCTAGGTCAGTGTCTGACTGAGCTCATCTCAAATCACTGTCTCTGGCCACTCTGGGTTTTTAAACACAGGGATAAACAGTGCAGGGAAAGAAAGTGATTATACCTGCGATCCCAGTCACTCCACACATGAGAATCGAGGCAAATCCTGAAAGCTCTGGGGGTAGTTACTCCTTGGATTCCCCCCAAACCTTCATAACAGAAAGCTTAAAACTGCTTAAAAAGCAGAGTTTGCCCTCAAACACAGGCACTACTTCTGATTCTCTCCAGAATAACAACAAAAAGGCCCAATGGGCACAACTGAGTTCATCTCCAGGAAGCCTTTGTTCCAGAGGCAGTGCCTGGTTTTGCCTGGAGTACCATCTAGTGGCAAAGGATTGGATGCAGCACAGCCCAGCTCTGTTGGAACTCAACACTTACCAGGTATAAATGATCAAAAATCAGAGATGGTTTGTCCATCTGCCCCAGGATTAGCAGCATTTCATTGTCTATAAATTCCTTGAATTCCTTCAAGTTGCAGTTCATGTGTTTCTCCAGCTCGTTTCGTATCTGCGGAGCACAAAACAAAGGATGGCACTGGGACTGTGGTGTTCAACAGAAACATTGTTGGCACTTCCCTGCAAAACACTTTTCTGTCCTTCAATAAAAACAGCAACAGGGATTTGGCATCCTGACATCCTAAGACCCCAGATTGAAGAGCTGTAAAATAAAGTTTCAGATAATATCAGAGAACAACAACAAAAAAAAAAATCTACCTTGGGGTACCTGATTCTTAAAAATAATAAACTGAGAGAAGAAAAACAAGACCTTGCAGAGCAGTGAACAAATAAAGTGAGACCCATTAGAAGCAAGGAGTGAAAATGGCAGCAGAGAGAGATTTCCAGTACTCTCCCATTTTAAAATGGGACATAACATCCTCTCCCTGCCCTCAGCTTCTGGCTGGGGCAATGCAAACCCACACAACTTTATTTTAACCCACTGTGGAAAATGGCTGCAGCAGAACCAAAGCATCTCGTGTGCACCGGGAGCGAGGAACATGTGCACAGACAGACGAATTTTCAGCTTCCACCTACCACTTGCATGCTAATAACCTCCCTTAAAAAACAAAAAAACTCAGCCCAAAGAGATCTATTTCCACTCTGAACGTCTGCACTGCGGGTGGATGTATTTCACCAGCCTGGGGGACGGATCCCAACTAACTTCAGCTTTGACTTGTGATTTTCCATCTATAAACTCACCAGCAAAATGCTGTCTGCAAGGCTCTCTGACAGGAAAAAAAGGAAATAAAACCTTAAAACCTGACTTGAGAGTCACATACATGTTACTAAAATCCTGAAAAACATGTTCTGATGCTGAAATTATCCTGATTTCTCAGGAGAGAGGTGAAGCAAAGCCAGAGCCGAGTATTTACAGAACAGCTGGAATGCACATTCCAAAGCCAATGACACCCAGGGATACGGTGCCTCCTCAGCACTCTCTGGAAAGGGAGTCTGGCAGGAAGAATAAGAGCAAGAATTTTTCTATTTACCTCCTTAGAAGTCACATTTTCCAGGTCTTTGCTCGTCATGATGCTCCGGAGTTTGGCTTTAATGAGCCGTTCTGTCCGTTCCCTTTCCGTGGGCCTGGAAGGGAACAGGAACAGGAGAGGAAGCTCCAGGCTGGCAGCAAACACACAATGCTGCTTCCCAGTACTGAGGGGTTGGGGGGAAAGGCTTTTGGTCAAGGCAATTTTGGGGAGAATAATGGAAAAAAACCCCATTTGAAGCCTTTTATGAAAAGGAAATGAACCAGGTGAGGAAGAAGAGGGAGAAGGGGATTTTTGTGTGAGCCAAGACTTTTCCCAATCCATCCCAGCACTGACTTGTCAACAAAGAGGGCGGGAGAGTCGGGGCGGGTGGACTCCAGGTCCTGCATGGCATTCCACTCGTTGATGCAGCTCTGGTCAGAGCTGATGCAGCTCTCGTAGTAGGTGGCCCAGACCAAGGCCACCCCTCCTGGGAAGTAGTTGTACCTCCTGGCAACCTCACAGGCTTTGTGGAGGATCTGTAAAGCAGACCTGCAGGTTGGGAGAAGAGATTTGTGCAGCTGTGAGCAGCAGGAACAGACAGAGCAGAGAAAAAATGATTTTTAGCATTATTTGTTGCGGTTTGCTCTTTGAGAGCAGCAGATTTATGGAGCTCAAAGAGGGCACAAACTGCACCTTGGAGGCTCCTCACAGCAGGGCCAAGGCAGAGGCTGAAATCTTCTCCTGATTAACAGGGAATCAGGAGGCACAAGTCCCTCTGGGATCTAATCATCATCCAACTTGTACAGCCAAAGGAAAATAAAGAACAGGGACAATTTTCAAACCACCTCCAGCAAGGAGCCTGATGCATATTTACCAGCATTCCTGGCCCCTGACAGGCTCCAGGGACCAGGCCCAGATTGGGTCATTTGTTTTTGCAAATTCTAGCATTACTTTTTCCTTCCTTCCCTCCTCAATTTTTTCTTTCCTTAAGGCTCCAAACTTGTTGTACTGAACATATCAACCACCTCCAAGGCGGCCAAGCGCAAAAAAAAAAGACAACAGAAGTTTCACTTGTTTCTGTACCAAATCATCCCCAGCACAACATCCCTTTGCACATCTTTTCCCTGTCAAATGCTGCTGGGACGGGGATCTCTCCAGGCTCCAAGGGGAGCCAGCCCAGGCCCAGGGAGACGCAGTTCCATGCAGGGCTGGGCAGCAGCCTCTCCAGGGAGGAATGTGCTGGCACAGCCACTGCTGACTCAGCCACCTCTGCTTCAGGGGTTTGGAATCCCTGCACAGGGGAGGGGTGACAGGAGCTGAGAGGTGAACAAGCCCCTGGAGAGGCAGGAACCCCAGGAATGAGGCAGGACACAGGGAACGCCACAGTTTAGCAGTGGGTCCTGAGCCTCCTCCCTCAGCTTGGGAGTGAAACATGCAGAGGGAGGAAATTCTGGGTTTGCAGCCCGGTGAATTCAAGTTAATCTTTCATACTTATTCATCTCCCTGGTGCCACTTCCCTCTCACTGAAGGGCCCAGAGCTGCTCTGAAGTGAAGCAGCAGATCCTGGATCAGGATTCCCACAGTCCCTTAACAGCCCTGCTGACATAGGGCAGCAGATCTCTGCTGCACTCACCGAATACCAGTTTATGGAGAGTTCTACCATGCAGTTGGTTGGTTGTTTTTGACTGACAGAGGACAGTGTCTGTGCCCCCAGCCCCTCAGCACACCTACCACATGGCCTGCACTGACACGGGCTTGAAGATGTGCATCCTCCCCGCTGTGCTCACACTGAAGCCACTGCAGAGAGAGGGGAAAACGAGTCACAAACTGCTCCTCTCTGCATCACAAACTGCTGCTGCCAAGCTGCTACTGGGACACTCACAGTCCAAAAGAACCAGGGAGGAGAATTTCTGTCTCTGATTTTTTAACACCCTCCCAAATAAGAATGGCAAGAGGACACCCCTCCCAGCATAGGATGCCAGGAATGGGAGCTGCACCCCTGGAGGGGGATTTCAGAGCATTCCCGGGGTACCACAGGTCCCACCGAGCAGTGTGAGGGCAGCAAGGCCAAACTCACTGTGTGAATAACGGACTGGAGCCATGAATCCAAAATGGGAACTTTCTGTGCAAGGTGACAGGGAATCTCTCCCAGAGCAGCCCCCAAGCAGGGAAGGACATTCACATTTATCCTGTTAATGTGGTTTCTTACCCATCCCCATCAAGATGGATTTTGGTGTCACTCCACAGGCGAAGAACCATTCCTATAGTGCAGCTTTTACTGGAAGAGAGATGGTTAGACAGGATGTTAGATATAGGCCACGATGTGGTCACACCAATAGCCTAAATTATTAACACTCTTTAATTTTTAAAATCCTGAAGCCTTGCTCTAGTAATCCTTAGTAATATTTTAGGCAGCTGCCCACTCTCTGCAAAGGGCACCTCAGGGGCCAGTCAAATTCCAGCTGTGCTCCTTCCCACTGCCTGATACAACAGACAAAAAGGGACTTTAGGGGTTTATCTGACCTAAAAGAACACCTTCAGCTCAGAGATGAAATCTGGCAACAAAGCCCTACTATAACGAGGGCCAGCAATTTCCAACTAGTAAATAATTAAGCTACCGAGATATTCAGGTTTTAAAGGAAATTTGGAGGCACACAACAACAGAACTCAGGTTTGGTTTGCTCTTTTCCTTTCTTATTTAAGTCTTCAGCCACTTTTTATAATGGATTTGACAGGCCAGTCTAAGCACACATGTGGACAATGTGCACTTTAGAGCTTTGCAAGTTAAAAAGGATTTCATTAAACACATGTAAGAGGAATAAAAGCACCTGACTAGTGAAGTTCTCAGCAGGAAGAACATTTACAGCTCAGCAGTGACATCTCAACCCCAACACAAAGCCATAGAGTCACTCAGTAAAGTCACTACTGCCAAATGACCTCTTTATGCACCCCTAATCAACAAAAACTCTGGGTGTTGGAGACACCAAGGGAATGCCACATGGGAATTTCTTCCATAACACTAACAACAGGAATTTCAGAGCAGAACAAGAGGCAGCATCAAAGCAATGACAATAAACTTATGAAGAAGGCATGGCCAGGAGCTTCCCCACAGATCTCTCTGCTGTGCAAAGCTTCCCCTTTCCACTGGAATCCACCAGTAAGGTTTTCCAAAATTAAACAAAACTCACACTGGCTGCACCAGCACGACAGGGCAGCCTGTTAAATCATGGGAGAACAGACACAACAGCCTGGCAGCTCTGACTTCTGACTCCAGAAACCGGCCCCATCTCCCCCAGCCAAGAGCTTTTTTGCCTTAGTTTACTCACCCAGGACTGGGATAATCTGAGAAGGGCCGCGATAACAAAATATTTCCCTTGCTTTGCCAAATTCTCTGTGCTCTTATCAGTCAGACAAAAGGAACAGCTCGTTACTGACACAGCTGTTTGTTGGTTTTGGAACTACTTTTGCAGTATTGTTTTTTGACATTATTTGGCAACCAAGCTACTCCCCCAAACCGGTTCCATTGCATCATCCCATCAACAGACTTGAGTCTGGTGGAGAGAGCAAGATCCAGCTTTGCAAATGTGTCTGCAAGAGCATTTACAGGGAGCAGGCAGCAAACTCCCACTCCTGAGGTGGATGCCACATCCCTGCAGCTGGATTCTACATGCCTGCTATACATTCCAAGGGGACTGGAAGCTTTCTGGAATAAAAATGTCGGGAAACTCAACGCGCGTCCTTCCTCTTGCTCGGATTTGCAGACACAGATAAACCAACTGCTCAGGGGCAGGTTGGTGTGGACAGGCTCTCCAGGGAGCCCAGCCTGCCCAATTCCCAAGGCTGCCGTACCTCTCCTTGCTGGAGAAATCCACCCCCAGCAGGATGTTCTCCTCGGTGTCCTGGCGCCCGCTGCTGTACACGACCACCATGTACCGCACCCGGTCCGTCCACACGCTCTCCAGACGCACAGCCTGCAAACAGGGAGCCAGGCCTGCTAATTACCTTCTGGCTAATTAATATCCCATTGCTGCCTCATAGTTTTTAAGGTGTGATTGCGCCCCAAAGCTTTATTTAGCTGCAGTCTGAGACACAGTAAGGCTTGCTGCTGGTTTGATTTGGCATCGGTGTGGGAGAAGATCGGCTGGGATCACCTGCTCCAGCTTGGGGGAATGCTACAAAATGTAACCCAAAGGTTTGTTCCAAAGAGTTTCAACCAGGAAGTGTAAAAGCACTGATCATGCACTGAACTGAGAACGTGCAGAGGACTGTCCCACTCACAAGCCTTCACTGAAATGTGCCTGTGCAGGAGGGAGAACTGACATCCACTTCTCTGCAGTGACTTTTGCAGCAGATTTTTATCTGTAGATTCCTTTAAAAGAAAGCCCAGCCTCATGTGATGCAACTTCAAGGCTGACTTAAAAGTGTCCACAAGCATCAGCAAGCTCCTGTCTCCCTTCCTGTACTCAAGTTTTGAAAATTAAATCTAACAGAACAACACATTTAAGAGAGAGCAGTTCCCTGACCAAACTCGTTACCTGAATGTAAAGACCAGGACAAGAGGAGTGGACAGGAGAACATGGTAAGGTTGGGAAACAGCACAGAGTTAAGGCAACTCTGAAATTTAGGATCCACCAATGCTTTTCCTGATCCTCTACAGGTCTGTTTCAAACACTTCCAACAGAAAGGAGAGCAGGAAAATGCACCTGTCCTTACCAGTTTGATCCTGTCCTCACAGCGAAGGAGGTTGATCATCACCTGGAGGTGCTGGGGTAAATCACCTGCAGAGGAGGCAGAGGAATCATCAGAAAAAAGGCTCTTGCTGCACTAAGAATCAGCAGAGTCTTGACCTTCAAAGAAATTGGATGTTTCTCAATCCAAAAATACCAATTAAGGGAGGGCAATTAACTTTGCTGTCCCAGAGAACATCAACAGCAGGGAGATTCCTGGATGAGCATTCTCTGGCTGTCTGAGAACCCACCCAGGGGCCTGGGTTGGGTGATGGAGCCCTTCCTTCTCAAAGCTCTGCTTGTGCAACAAGTCCCTTCAGCTCTGGGCACATCTAGTTGGGGAAAGCAAACCAAAGCAAGAGGGAATCTACAGGAAAATAAACCAAGTTCCCATCTAATAACTGAGTCATGCACTCATAATTTTCCACGAGAGATAAAATTCCTTCCGTAGGATGTCTGCTGGGCATATGGAATTGCTGACAATTAAAGAAACCCAAAGCCAAGCTTGGCATTCAAACACCCCCTTTGTGCTTGGAGTGTTTACTAAGCAGCAGCCACACAGTACCACACTGTGCCTTTCCCACATGCTCTTGCTCTCCAAGTGCCCCCAAGATCTTATTTCTTCTTGACCAGTGACCACAAATTCTAAAATTCTGTCAAAGACAGAAGGTATAAAATCACTGGGAAAGCAGAATCCACTTCCCTGAGCCCCCTTATCTGCTTATCAATCCTGGTGTACACTCACCATACCCCTCCCCTACCATTTCTTCCCACCAGTTTGGCACAATGGAGGGGACTGGGGGAAGGACAGCCTGTTCTCAAACCATGATAAACTCTCACAGGCCAGATTGTGGGGAGTTAACAGGAAAGGGGGTTTTCCTGAAATCAGGAAAGGGGATATGAGTAGCTACCCAGATGCCCAAATCCTGATGAAACATCTCTTACCATGACCAGCAACATCAAACAAAAACCAGCAACAGGGAATTTCAGAAGAAAGTCCCAACCTCTGGACTACTGGAGGCTGGGAGAGCACTTGGAGAAATATCCCTGCTGTGCTGAACAGCCCTTCCCTGCCCAAAGAGAGCCATGCAAAATGCTGTGATTTCCACAGAGAATAAGCTTTTACTCCAGTCACAGTTCCAATACAGTGGTAAAAGTTTAAACCAAGACTCAATAATCCCACATTCCCATTTGAAAGCCTGGGTTTGCTCAGCAGGTGGTACAAAGCTCGCCAGGACAATGTGGGGAATCACCCACCCACCCATGTGTGTCACCAGCCCATCCATGTGAATGGGATGGAAAAAGATACTCCAGAGGGGATTTAATCCACTACCTGCATGTTTGTGAGGGTGCTGGAGGCTTCGCTGGCCCTGGGAGCTGTTTCCTTGCTGTAGGAAAAGGGCTGCTCCTTTCACCATGAAAAAGCTCTCGCTGAGGCTGGAAAACAAATGACACAGGAGTGAACTGAAAGGAAACAACGGCAGAACGTGCATGGTTGGGGAAGGAAGGGCTTCCCCCACTAAAACATAGTAGGATTTTGCCATGAGAAGCTGTTCCCAGAGGTTGATCCTGCCACTCGCACCGCATGGCTCCAGGATTATTCATAGATTATTCATGTGTCATTTTCCACCACCGTGTTATTACTTGGCCACTGCAGGAGATCCTTTCCCTGAGCTGTCACGGGCTGGAAATGACTTTATCACTTGATTATTGAATTCTGCAACTGAAAAGCAGCAGAGGGTAGGACTTGGTACAGGCTCAGACCTGCAACAGGACTGAGGAGCAGGTTTGGAGTCCACCAGTTCCTGCTCATTTCAGTTCTTGGGATTTCTTTGGAATGCAAAAACAAGCACACGAAACTGTGTAAAGAGGAAGGGAGGGAGGGTAGATGGAACCTGCACATCACAAGGGAAGGGAAAGGGCTCTGAACCCTCTGGGGAAAACAACCAGCACAACTGCAGAAGTTTTGCTTTCCCTGGAGCATCCGGAGAGGAGGCAGGACACGGGCTGGGCAAACACCACGGCATTCCCAGAGGCAAATGACGCACAGGGGCTGGAACATATCAGAGGAGAAGGTGGAAGCACTGGTGGGGACAGCAGGCACCAGCACAGCCCAATTCCACAGTGCCCTCCTGACCCACACGAGCACTTGGGGAACGGTTCAGAAACAGATCTGGCCGTGAGCAGTGAAGCTGCAATTCCCACAGGGCTGAAAATCCCCTCTCCTGAGGAGCCTTTGAGCTGCTACAGGAACTGCTTACGCTGCGTTTCCTCCACTCCCAAACAGCAAAAGAGCCATTTCTTCTTACAAAGCTCCATTTTCTGCCACCCCATGCTCCCAACCGCAGCTCCTCATTAATTACTGCAGCTACCAAACAAAAATGCTCCATTATCAGGTTGTGCTGCACAGGAGTTACTTCTGCTGCAGCAAATGATCCCTCTGGAGTTACTGCTCCCAGCACTCATCTATTCCATACTTTATCCAAGGTCTTTGCCTTGGGCAGGAGTGAGCCCTAATGCTCCCAATGCTCCGTTCTCCCTCAGTGTTTTTGAGAGGACAGACATGAATTTCGTGTCTTTTCAGATTTTGCCATCTCTAGGAACACAGCCCAGGTTCCCAGGCGAAGCTTCCTCCTTTTCCAGCTGAATCTCAAGGTGCAGAATCCCCAGAGAAAATCTGGACCAGGTTTAAATTTGAACTTTTAAAAAGTGAATTAAAAATTTCCACCCAAATTTCAGGCTCCACAAGACCACTAAAATGCAGCAGGAGAACTGCACTGTAATTCCAGCAGGCTTTTCTCCATTCCCATTCCTGCAGGATCCCAGCACTCACCCCTCACTTCCCCAGCTGTGTCTGGACAGGAGTCCTCGGGGTTTGCTGCTCTGCTCGGCCTGGCTCCTGCTCCCAGTGGGAATGTGGCTCATTCCCGGAGCCAGCCAGGAAGAGCCTTGTTTCCTTCGCACCCCAGAGCTCACAGGAAAGCGTTAAAAAAGGCCAGAAATGACACAAAAGCAGCGACCCCAACACAATGTATGGAATATTCAGCTGCACACACACTCCAGCAGGAAGAAGGGAATGGTGAGATAATGCACAAGGAGGTAATTCACGGCATTCCCATCATGAGAATTTAGGAAAATGAAAAAGGGTATTTTTTTAATCCCCAATAAAGTACTGCCTAAGATTTTTTCCAGCAGGAAAAACTTGGAAAAGGTAGAGCTCCTTCCCAAAGACCTCGGGAACTCCTGCTCTGACGGTTCATCTCACCTGACGTTCTCCTCTCCTGCATCAGGAAATCGGTTACAATAAAGCAGAGTATTCCCAGTAGCAGGGAAAGGGAAAGCTGTGCTGCTGGAGCAGAAAGCAGTCGCAGGAAAAGGACAACCCAAATTGCAAAGGTTTTCTCCCTGTGGATTCCTCTGCCTGGAAGTGAACTGGGAAGCAAAGCCCAGAGCCTGCTGAGAGCAGGATTTGTTTCAGTTTCAATCCTTGTTCCCCACCCTGACCTCCCGTAGCCCCACCATTCCCAATCTCCACACAAGCTCCCATTTCCACAGTGCTGGACACAGGTAACACACCCCAACACCTCTGAGCACAAACTCATAGTTTACACCACATTGTAACAACAACATTACCCACACGCCCCTTATCTCCGCTCTGGGAACACTCTCTGCTCTCAGTCCCTTCACACAACTGCTCCGAACACAGCTGAGTGAGAAAGGCAAGGTGCAATATTCCAACCCCCTTTTAAATCCTGCAGATCCAGTAAGCAACTAAAACTCTGACCTTTTGGAAAAAAAAACAAACCTCCTAAAGAAGAGCCAAATCCTGCCATTAAAAGAACAGCCAGATGCCCCAAAGCAGCACAAACCAGTGGCTCATACATACAAATTCGGGCTGGTTTTCTTTGCACAGCAGCAGCATCGTGCTGGCCCCAGCATCAGGCAGAAGCCAGGAAACTCGAAAAGATTCATAACTAGCTATAAAACTCACATCCTTCTGCTTCTGAACCCATAAAAGAAAAGAAGGCAAACAAAAGGTCGACCGTATATTGTGTGCGGAGCAGAGAGATCGCGGCTGGTGATGCTCCCCGGGAACTGGATGGCTTTTAGAGAACACTGTGTCTTCCACTGATATCCTGCCTTGAAAAAGCACTTGTCCCAACACATCCTGATGAAAGAGGGCCATTCAAGAGGGGAAACAACCAGCTGAGGCTCGTCTAATCATTTCCCTCCTCCAGACTTGTTTGTTTGTTTGCTTCCCCCCTCGTGCTCCGGAGGCAACGCGGCTCCTTCCAGCACCCACACAGCCCCTCGCTGTGGGAAGTCCACATTCCCTGGGACAGGACTGGAGGAAAAGCCTCCTATCAACTGGTGCCTGTTCATTCCTTTATGATTAAAGCACTGCAAGCCACCACTGTGATACAGATACAGCAAATTAAAATGGTCCTTTCCTCACTGTACAACTCCCACACTGGGCTTTCAGAGTGACTCCCGAGTTCCTGAGCTCCTGCGGAACAAGGAATTCTCTCAGGTGCCCGGTGTTTGTGTGTTGGGGGCTGGCTGGCATCAAATTCCCTGAAGATTTATCCTTACAGACCCTAATTCTCCAGGCACAAACTGGAATGCCACACTGGTCCCACCAGCCTGACCAGGGGGAGAACCAGCTCTCTGTTCAGTTTTCACCCAGTTCTCACCCAGTTTGACTGGCACACACCACAGAAACCACCCATCCCCCGGATGCCCTGCCAGGAATCCTGACCAGCACAGCTACTCTACAAGGAGTCACTTCAGCCTCTCAAATAAATGCAGAGCCCACAAGTTTTGCACAGCCCCGGGACCCTGGAGCTCCAGTACAGCTGCAGATCAGTCCTCCTTCCATTCCCTAAGCTCAGCTTACAGAACACATGGAATTATCTCCCTGAGGGAGGTAAAACCCTATACTTCCAGCAGCTGGGAAATGCCAGGAGGCAGCTACAGTCCCTTCTGCACCCAGGGACTGGCAAGGAGAGGGTGCTCATGGCCACAGCGCCATGGAGAGCCGGCTCCAGCAGCTCTTGCTCCATCCGGCAGCTCCGTGCTGCTCCACTTGAAAAGGAAATATTTCGTTCCCTTTGGGAAAGCTCCAGAGGAGCGTGGCTGCAACACACATCAATCACATCTCGAGTTGCTGAAGAACACAATAGGTAGCGCCTTCTCGGCTGTACAAACCAACCCCCCGGCTCCAGGAGCGAGAAATCTGTTAAAAATACTGGATTTGGGGAAAGGACAGCTTGCTTTGCCATCGTGGCTCCAGCGTGTCCCAGGAAGAATCCTGGCATGCCTCGGGTGTTGGGAGTTCCATGGTTTAATGGGGAATCTCACATAAGCCGTGATGATCAGGACAGAAGAAAACACCCTTATTGCTACAGAACATGTCAAAATAAATATCCACACTCAGAAGTCAGGAGAGAGAGAGAGAGAGAGAGAGAATCACTTTTCCTGGGAAGCCCCAGCCAAGCCTGAGGTGAGTCAGCAGCCTCCTGCTGCCCTTCTGCAACCAGGTCTATGTTTAAGGAAAAAAAACCCAACAAATCCTTGCAAAAAAAGGAATATTCACTTCTCCCAGGATTGGTCAGGATTTTACAAAGGCAAACACAGTAATGCCTCCTGGTTTCCGGGGTTTTATGGCATCTTCCATTCAAAACACTTCCAAACTGATAAGGTGAGGTAAAAAACAGGCCTCCTGAGCACCACAGAATGAAACACTTCCCTTTTCCCTAGCTCTGTTGATAAGGAGGAAAAGAACTGATTTTCCCCCATTTCCTTCTCCCATTTGCTGCTCAGTCTGGAACAAGGAAACCAAGCAAGGACACAAAACACATCCCTGGTGAGGGGCCAAGCCCCTCAGGTGCTCCCAACCCAGCCAGACCCTCTAGTGTTCCAGTGGTGGATTTTAGGCAGGGCACTGCTGCAGTGAGCAGAGGGAACTGGGATCATCCCACAGCCACTCCAAAACAGTCACACAAACCAAGCTGGGAGCACATCAAACAGAAAGGAAGATACAGGGAGAGGAAGAGCCGGAAGAGTCGGGAGCAGCTGCTCAGCTCCCGCTTCCCAAGGCGAGCCGACAGTGGAAGCAGCCGGGCTGCTGGCTTTGGCTGGAGAGAGGCACATCAGATAACACTTCCTGACCAGGAGAGGGGCCTTTGGAAAGGGGCCTGAGCAACACAAACAGTGCCAGGGAAAAGGCACTTCAAAGCTACTCAGTCCTGCACACCCCAGAACAGCCCTGGGGGCTCCAGAGAGTCCCTTCTCCCGCTGTTAATGAAGGACTTTGTGTGTCCAAGTGGCCTTTGCTCCCTGTCACACCAGACATCCAGAGCTCAGAGCCACAGAAAGGTTAAATGACACACAGAGGAATCACCCTGACAGACACAGCTGGAGTATCTCCACAACCA